GACCTGGCATCAGCCTGATCCCAGGGGAGCCCTGCAGTGTGACTGGCACCCCGGGGCTCATCCCACTCACAGAGTCATTAGTCAGTCACTGCCATGGACCGAGGTAGGGAGAAGGGAAAGTTATTTCCCAGGCATGTGGGGTGGGGGGGAGCGGGCAACTCCTGTGGACCCAGGGCAAGCACCTGGACAAGGGCCATTAGCAGCCCCAACCTGGGGCGACTGGGAGAGGAGTGCACCTTCAGGGGAGGGGGAACCAGACAGGACACCAGCAGCGGCCACAGTGTCTGCCACACAGGCACAGACTGTCCAAAAAAGCTACCTTTAATCTATAATTCCACCTGTGCTCACCCCAGCCTTAGAAAGGTAAGAAAGTAATATACTGCCCTGGCCGGTTTGGCTCAGTGGTTAGAGCATCGGCCCAGGGACTGAAGGGTCCCGGGTTCAATTCCGGCCAAGGGCGCATACCTCGGTTACAGGCTTGATCCCAGCCGAGGTCGGGGCGAGTGTGGGAAGCAACCAATTGATGTGTCTCTTTCACATCGACGTGTCTCTTTCTATCTCTCTCTTTCTCTTTCCCTTCCCCTCTCTGAAAAGCAATGGAAAAAATATCCTCAGGTAAGGATTAAAAAAAAAGTAATGTACTAAAATAGTGTTTGCACACCGGGCTCACAGCAGCATTACTCACAATAGCCAAGGGGTGAGAGGAATCCAGTGCCCAGGTAAACAGATAGACAAAATGTGGGCTACCCATACAACGAACTAGTATTCAGCCCTGAGAAGGGAAGAAATTCCGACACACGCTACACTATAAATGAACCTGGAGGGCATTATGCTCAGTGAAATAAGCCAGTCACAAAGGGACAAATACTGTGATTCCACTCAAATGAGGCCCCCAGGAGTCAAAGTCACAGAGATGGACAGCAGAGGGTGGGTGCTGGGGGTAGGAGTGGGGAGTAGGGAGTTAGTGTTTAATGAGGACAGAGCGTCAGTTTTGCAAGATGAAAAAGTTCTGAAGAGGGATGTTGGTGATGGATCCACAAAATGTGAGTGTTCTTAATGCTAATGAAGTGAACGCTTAAACATGGTTAGCCCTGGGTTGGAGGGCTGTCCCCTACACCAAAAGGTTGCGGATTTGATTCCCCGTGAGAACACATACCTGGGTTTCAGGTTCGATCCATGGTCAGGGCACATACAGGAGGCAGCCCAATCAATGTTTTTGTCTCATATCGATGTTTTTCTCTCTCTTTCTCTCTCTCTAAAAATCAATAAAACATGTCCTCAGGTGAGCATTAAAAAAACAATTTTTAAAAATGGTTAAATTGGTCAATTTTGTGTTATATATATTTTACCACAATAAAAAACAATAATAACACATGTGTACTGTGGAGCCAAAAGCAAATAATCAAAGAACAGAGACAGGAAAGGAAAAAACTACCCTGAAGACCCAACAGGAAATAAAGGCTGCTCCTGAGACCACCCCTTAGTAGTTAGCTTCCCGGCAGCCAGAACCAAAGGGAAATTAGAAGATAACCCCGTGCTCCTTGTCTGATGAGAGGAAGTCATCTAGTTCACTGGGAAAAATAAACTTGTTTTTGGCACAAAATGTTAGGAGGAATTTTAACTGTTGATAGGTTCATATTTATAACCATCACTTCCTCATGCTAACATAATGCCAAACACTGGACTGAGAGTTTCCAGGGATTTTTAATTTACTTAGCTATACTCTACAGATAAGGAAACTCAGGCCCAGAGTAAATGATCTTCCCAAATAAAAAATGGCACAGGGATTTGAACCCAGGTCTGTCTGGCCAAGGGAGTATGTATGACCAGAATTCTTCAGTTTGTAGATATTAATCAGGCACCTGCCACCTGCCTGTCCCTATTACAGGTATTGGGATGTGGGAATAAACAAGACCAAATTAGGTCCTACTCTCATGTGTCCAACATTCTGGTGAAGGAAAAGACAAGGAACAAATAAGTAACAAGATGTCAGCATTGTGAAGGAGGGAGAGGGACAGGGGCACTCCTTTGGCAAGAGTGGTCAGAGCAGGACTCATCTAAGAGGCAACACTTCGTCTGAGACTTGCCTGTCAAAAATGTGGTGCCATGCAAAGATCTGGGGAATGGAATCCCAGGCAGCATGTGCAAAGGCCCTGAGGCAAGAACCAGATTGACATGTTGTAGTTGGCATGCAGGGAACAAAGAAGAGAGTGGGAGTGAGGCAGGACAGAAAGGAGTCAGGGAAAGCTCCTGACAAGGGGACATCGCAGGCAGATAGGCATCAGGTGCTCTCACCAGAGCCCCCACCTGCACACATGATCAAAGGGAAACAGTTTACGGTAGCAAACCCCTGTGGTGGTGGCAGAAGTCAAGAACCAGCTAAAACCAGATCAGTCAGGGGAGGAGGAAAAGTTATCCAGAGACTGACCCCAAAGCTCATTATAGTGAAAACTGACAGCACATGTAGGGAAAGAACCGCAGGAGAACAAGAAGGCCGAGACAGAATTTACTGCCACAGGATTCAAGAACTGGAAACATATAAAGTCCCAAGAACTAACTGGCAAGTGCACAACTCACTGGCAAGCTCGCCCGCGTCCCCGGGATGTGCACCCTCACCTCTTTCACAGCGGCGCCAGTGGCCTGCCCTCCACCTGTCTCTACCTGAGTAAAACCCGCTTTCGCTCTCATTCGGACTCTCACTTGGACTCACTCTTGAAATCTTTCCTACACAAGTCAAAAACCTGGAGGTCCCAGACGCACTGGACAGGGCCAGCCACTGGCACTGAACCAGCCAGTGACAGGAGGAAATGAGGTCAGCAGCAAGGAGAAAAAGGGGGTGAGCGGACATGAAAATCCAGAAAGGCGAGGCCTGGCCACTGTGGCTCAGCGGTAGAGCATTGGCCCATACATCAAAGGGCTGCGGGTTTGACTCCTGGCCAAGGGCACGTACAATGGAAAAAATATCCTCGAATGAGGATTAACAGAGAAAAGAAAGGAGAGAAGCTCAAAAGAGGAAAATGGTCGGTCCCCACACCCAGTGCCCCGGGGACTCCACACAGCAGCCATGCACTTAGCGGACATTGTTCCAGAAGGGTGGTGGGCACCACACTAGGCCACAGCACACTGGGAGCTCAACAGGGAACTAAAGACACCCCTTTCAAGAAGTCTGAGGAAGACCCCAGTCCTACAACACAGCACCAAGTAAAACCGCATCACACAGGGAACACCGGCGCAGGCGGCAGACCAGAAAGCAGGCCACGCAGAGCCACAGACGTCTGGTGCTGGGGGGGAGGAGGGGACGGAGGGGGACCCCAGGAGCCTGTGGTGGGCGGCATCCTCCTGATCCACCCAGGTGGGGATTACTCCAGGGTTTGTTCAACGGTTTTTATGAACTTTTTGTATGTGTGCTTCTTCACAATAAAAGAGACATTTTAAAGAAAAAAAAAAGAGCCAATTGTAGTAGCCCAGAAAAAGGTAACAAAGGCCAGACAGGGTTTTAACACAAGATATGGAGAAGAGGGGAGGGAGGTGAAAAATAGTCACAAATTACCCAAAGAAAAGTGACCAAGTTTGGCTTCTATCTTTAAAGTCATATTTTCCTTCATCTCCTTGTGGGCAAGTCTGACTAATTGATGGCATTGTTTGTAAAAAGACAAGTCAGGCCCTGAAAGGCCGGTACGAGGCAGGGGGTTGGGAAGGGGCCTGGGTCCTTTCAGGTGGGACAGCCAGAGCAGGTCAGGCCAGGGGGAGAGACACAGGTGGGGTGGCCTGGGATCCCAAGGAGGAGGGAGGCGCTAGGTCCAGACTCAGGGGGAACCGGGCTCTGAACAAACACTGGGTGAAAGTGCTGAGAAGAGGGACCCAGGCGGAAGGCAGAGAGGGTGCCAGGAGCCCTGGGTCCTCGCACGCTCATTGTTCCCTGTGGTGCTTCCACGGATAAGCTCATGAAATCACAAGGAAAATGCACCCTTCGAGTGGAATCGCCAGGTTTTCCCTGAATAAAAAGCTTCTTAAAGCCTGGGTGAGAGCTGACCATGCACATGTGATCACTAGTCTCATCACAAACATAAGCAAGTGAGAAATTACAAAGACAATGTCCATGACTTATAATCAACCTCTGAGAAGAAAATGTTGCTCTTGCACCAGAAGGAGCTGATACTTTCTCTCCCCACAAGTCAGGACTCTGGAAAGAAGCCGCACTCCCAGGGAGGAGTGATGCAAACAGCCCTGCTGGCAGCCAACGCTGAGCTCACTGCTCTCCCCACCAGGCATCCCCACGCCCTCTGCCCAGCCCCAGGAGGGCGTCGCACCCTTGCTCTCTCCCTCTCTCTGTGGTCCTGTCGCTGGGACCTGTCATCTGATCTCCCACCTTTACTCAAAAACCTGACTGTGCCCTGGCCGGGTAGCTTAGTTGGTTAGAGTGTTGTCCCGATGCACCAAGGTTGCAAGTTGAATCCCCCATCAGGGCACAAATGAATTTATAAATAAGGGGAGCAACAAGTCGATGTCTGTCTCTATCTGTCCGTCTGTCTCTCTTTCTCTTTCTAAAATAATTAAAATTGTAAATTATATCTTTTTAAAAAAGAATGCAAGGGTAGTTCAATATTAAAACAGCATTGCAATCCACTACACTCAAAGAAAAACTCTACACTATCATCTCACTAGAGGCTGGAAAATAAATGTTCAGTAAAATTCAACATTTCATGATTGAAAACTCTGAGAAAAGTGAGCTTCTCCTGACCCGCCCAGCAGTCTCTAAGAATGGGTCACCTGTCTCGCCTCCAGAGAATAAACTGGCCTTGGAGTTTAAAGGTCTGTCTGCGGGAACACGAACATGGGACTTTAGGTGCTACCGTGGGAGATAAACTTTAGGGTCCACACTTCCTCCATAGCCTCCCAAGCCTTGGCTCAGCCCCATTCACCGCTTCCCAGCCCCTGAAGTTGAGTCCAGGGGTCCAGCGCAGAACCCACCTCTACTGAGAAACCCAGCAGAGACTGACCTGCTCCGGGGAGGTGAGCAGAGCCCCATGAAGGGCCTGAGCTAGGTCGGTATCCTGCCTCTGGGCTCAGCTGACATTCTCTTGCTCTCTTTTCTCCTCTTTACAAGAGATTTTTTCAAGGGAAGGCAAAAGACAGTCCTTTCTGTAAGAGATGAGATACTTGTGAGTGTGCGCGCATGTGTGTGTAGTACTGTATGTGAGCGGGCATGGAGTGTGCATGAGGTGTGAGTGTGGCTGTAACTGCGTGCAACTGTGAGCATTATATATGTGAACTGAAAGTGTGTGTGTGAGTGGGTGTGAGCATGAGTGTGCAAAACTGTGAGCATGCGTGTGCATGTGCACACACACGCTGGGCCTGGCAGGTGCTTGCCCTCCCATCCTCAGCCAGTGGGTCACTGCTCCCCAGTGCCCCTGGTCATTCCCCACTCCCTGCCTGGGCCACTCCACCTCCTCGGTCGTTCCACGACTTGCTTCCTGCTCTCCAGACACATCCCTGTCCCTGCCTCATTCACAGCCCTTCAGAGCCCATCCACTGTCCAACCTCACTGCAGAGAGCCCTGCCAACTCCACGGGACTCCTGCAGTGTCCTGGACGCACACGTCTGTCAGCTGCATTCCTGAGTGCCCGTCTCCTCCCCTCTAGTCGCAGGATGGTCATCAGGGGCTGGGGCTGGCAGGCTGCGTCCTAGGAGCTGACAGCTTGCACTGCCATGTGTGCCTGCTGGTCTCCCTGTAACTCTAAAGCAGGGACCCTCCCTCCTGCTCAGCCCTGACTGAGGGGTGGGCCCATGTGGACTCTCCAGAATGCTTTTGGTGGGTGGGTAGAGATGGGTGGATTAATTATTTAATTTGTGTGGCCCCAGCACAGGGTTGACACAAAACATGGAATGAGTTATAAACGTGAGTGCCCCTGGCCAGTGTGGCCCAGGTGGTTGAGCACCGTTCTGTGCACCAGAAGGTTGTGGGTTCAATTCCTGGTCAGGGCACATACCTAGGTTGCAGGTTTGAACCCCAGTGGGGGCACATAGTACGGGAGGCAACCAATCGATCTCTCTCATATCAATGTTTCTTTCTCTCTCTCTCCCCCTCTCCTCCTCATCCTCCTTCCTCTCCCTCTAAAAATCAATTTTGAAAAAATACCCGCTCTGGCTGGTGGCTCAGTGGTTAGAGGATCCGGCTGCACACCTAAGGGTCCCAGGTTTGACTCCAGCCAAGGGCATGTACCTCCCCTGCAGGCTCCACTCCTAGCCCTGGTCAGGCGGGTGCAGGAGGCAGCCGATCAATGTCTCTCACGTCAATGTCTCAATCTCTCCCTCTCTCTCTCACTGCCCCCTCCTTCCCTCCACTCTCTCAAAAAAAAAAAAAAAAATGGAAAAAACATCCTAGGGTGAAGATTAACAAAAAAAATAAAAACAAAAAAGACCATAAAGCTGAGCGCCACCAACACTCACCCCAAAAGGGCCTTCACAGATGGGAGGGAAACTGCCTGAGGTCAGCTGGCGAGTCAGTGGCTAAGCTGGAAGCCTCACATGGTCACACCTGGCACCGCATACACCCCGAGGCCTGGTCTCTCTGTCCTCCTCGGCCTCACAAGGCTTGGGATTCTAGGTGGAGGGGGTGGGGTGGAACAGGGACAGGCAGAAAGACACTAAAGACACACAGAAAGACTGAGAGAAGCAGACCAAAAGCCAAGCAGACAGACAGGGACAGAAAGGAAGGAGGCAGGCAGGCAGGCGGCCCCAGCAGACCCAGCCCTCAGCCCTGAGGCATCTGGAAGGAGGTGCCAGGCAGGGAAACCCTGTGCCTCCCCTGAGCCTTTCCCGTGCCAGCACCCCAATTTATTTGCACAGTCCTGAAATTAAGTAATTTCTCAGGGCTGCCAGCAGGGCCACCGGTGTGTAGCAAATGGCAGGGTCTGGCCCAGGCTGTGGCATAATCGTCAGGCTCTCCAAGGCCATCAGCAGCCACTGCCAAAGCAGAAATGGATAGCAAGTCTGGACTCCCTGAGGTCCAAGGTTCAAATTTTAACCCAGCTCTGCACTCAGGCTGCTGGGTGGCTCAGAGCACGTGACTTTTGTCTGCACATAGGCCCATCGCAGTAGCCACTCAGCAACACTGGGACCACTCAAGGAGATGGTGATCACAAATGGCAAACAACAGTTGAAAATACATGTTCACTGTAAAAAATAAGTACTCACCCCAGCTACTCTGAATCTCTCACAGCTCAAGTCTGCCCATTCCTTTGTTCCCTCTGCCAGGCACACCCTTCTGCCCCTTAGCAAACTCCTATTCATCCCTAAAGACCCAGCTCAATATCCCCTCTTCCAGGAAACCTTCCATCAGCACTCACGGCTTCCTCTTTCAACCACTCTACACTCTGTACACAGAGTTCCTGAACTTTCAGAGTTCATAGAAAAGAAAAAAATCAGAAGTTTAGAGCAAACCCTCAGAGAATAACTAATTCTGTCCACAGCCCCACCACTCGAGGTGGCTGTGGTTAGGCTGATGGTCAGGACCCCATAGCCCTTACCCCCCTCGCCAGCTCCCTATTCTAACATGAACCACCCAGACAGTAGAGCTGTGTTACTCATACTAGAGCACTCGCACGTTCTCTGTGGGATGGGTCCACCGTGAGAGATAGGGGCAGGCAAAGAAATTCACGGGCCATTCATCTGGAGCACGCCAGAGATGCTGTGGGGATCTCAGCCGACTTCTCCTGGTACAAGAACCCCAATTTTTTTCTGGGAGCCGCCCTCTCTCACCCTCAGGCCATGTGGAATGCTGGATGGCCAAAAGAGGCCTCCCTCCCCACCCACAGTGACTGGTCAGGAACAGTCATACAACCCAGTCATACCAACCATGCTGAAGCTCCTGAGCTCAAAGGAGTGAACCTGGAGCTGCTGGGCCACCTGACTGTCCCATGGCAGAGCCTGCCTGACAGTAATACAACATGGAGAATGCAGACACAGCTCTGAGGGCATCTTCAGAGCCCCTGGATACAGCCAAGCCTGACGCTAGTCCCCGTATGTTTTAATTCCATGATTATCAGCTTAAGTTGTACTTTCTATCACCTGCAACCAAAATAATCCTTACAACTATGAAAACAAGAACAGCAACTGTGTTCTATCTGTTGCTGACTAGACTCCAAGAATGAGTTTCTGAAGTTACTACACTCTGTCCCTATGGCAGACACCTCTTGGGGCTGCAGCTTGCTTCGCTGAATGCCCATTCTCAGGGAAGGGATGAAGACATGCCCCTAAAGCCACGCCAACATCATGACTTGGTGACCATGCCCCTGGCCACAGCCGACCAGACCAGGGTGGGTGTTAAGCTGGGCCAATCAGAGCTCTTCCTCAGGACTTTGACCTGGAAATAAAAGAGAACACAGACCATTTATTGTAGAAAAAACTTTGAGCCAGGAAGCTTCCAAGCTGAGGGTGGGCACTTTTAAATCACTTTGAGAGAATCAACCAGAGAAAAGTGCAGACAAAGAAAGAAGGGTGTGAGGAGTCCCCAGCTGCAGAAGCTCCTGGGGCCAGCAGTCCCTTGTCCTGTCCTGACAATGCAGGGGAAATCACGGTGAGGGATGTGGCCAGGCCGGGGACGCGCTACATGCCACATGCTGAGGAAGGCCACTCCTCCCACCCCATGCCTGGGAAGCCATAGCGGTTCCAAAGGGTGTCTCTGGGTCAGGCCCATCTGGCCTTGGGGTTGTGAGGCATTTCAGGGACAGACAGCTAATGTCACCACAACCTTTCCATTCCCAGCAGTCCATTAAATGAGTTTCTTGCTCTCATGAAAGCATAAGATTGGGTACTCAGTTCAAAAAACAAGTGGGGAGGGAGGGCTGGAGCAAACTTCCCTCAACCAGGTTCTGTAGCTAATTAAGGACCTGCAGCCAGTCGGCCACTGCTGTGGCTGTTACTGGTATTGCCCATGAAAAGTGGTATTGACGACCTCTGCTCCCCTGGGCTCAGCAATTACAGTTTACAAGCCATCTCCCCCTTGGCCAGGCTTAGATCCCACCTCGTCCAAGCACTGGCCCAGCCTCACCTTGCAGCCCCCATGGCCCTCTCCCTCAGAGCCCGAGCCCTAGCCCTAAGCCCCAGCCAGCCTGTCCCCCCGAGGCACAGACCCCAGGCTTCAGGACAACCCAGGCTAAGCTGCCTTCACCCTCCAGAGCTCTGCACAGCCAGCACAAAGGGCGCAGAGCTGGGGAGCACTGGGGGCGGAGAACAAGCACCAGCCATGACCTAAGAATCAGGGACTTAGTTTTGGGGAAGACATCCTGGCTGGAGGAGCTGCAGCCTCATCTCACAGCCCCGCCCAGCAGGAAACATGCCAAGGAGGGCCCAGGCAGGGTTCCAGGAAGACGGGAGGTGTGTGTGACCAGCCAGTGGGGTCTTTCCAAGTGAGACTAGACATAGCCATGCACAGTGAGGTCAGCGCTCAGGGCAAGGGCCACGGCAAGTAAGGACCCCGCCCACATTCTCTTTCAGCCCGTCACAATCACAGGACTCTGAGAGCACAAACATGTCCCTGCCACTTGCCAACATTCCTTGTCTTTTTTTTTTCAGTATGTGTTCATTGATTTTTAGAGAGAGAGGAAGGGAGGAGAGGCAGGAGACAGAAACATCCATGGGCTGCCTCCTGCACGCCCCCTACTGGGGATCGAGCCCGCACCCGGGCATGTGTCCTGACCGGGAATCAAACCCAGGGCCTCTTGGTACATGAGCCACACCACTGGGCCCAACATTCCCTTTTAACAAAGAGAGGGCGGGAATCACTGGCTCAAGGCTGAGGCAGGGAACAAAAGGTGACCAGAATTTGGAGCTACTTTGCAGCTATCTTTATTTTCATGGGTATTGCCGCCAAACCAGGGAAGGGATTTTTAAAAATATACTCAGTGTAATGTAAAGTGCATGGAAGGTGGGACAATACATGAGATTATGCTAATTATCACTTCATCAGAAGAGGAAGCCAACACCCACTGGATTCTTCCCCAAGAGAGGACACAGGTCCCCATGGGGCCCACCTCTACTAGCCCTGTAATCAGACAGCCGCAGACAGGAATCCTGTGTTGCCCATGGTCAGACAAGAAGGCAGAATTAACCCGCTATGAAGATAGGCAGGGGAACAGATA